GCAGAAGGAAGTTTTATGCTTGCTTGTAAAAAAAACCTCAGCTCTAAAATTCTGCCATAGAGTGCTTATATAGAACTGAATAAAGTAGCTATCATGTAACCTGCTTCCAGTTGATATATTAAAGTGTATGAAACTATGTGTTTTCACAAACACAACAGATATTCTCTTACTAACCAGGGCCGGCCCTAGCCAATTTGGGTCCCTAGGCAAGATTTAAGGTGGTGCACCTTGTGCTTTTTTCTCACTCAAATCAAATATCAAACCTCACAGCCATTTTAAATACATTCACATACCAAATTAAATTTTACATCTATACATAAACCAGGTTTACCTATTAAAATAGTTAACAATATAAGGAAATTCCTCCTGCTAAGATTTACTCAAAACTGCATTTCACAGCCATTTGAAGAGCATTTCACTAAATTCTTGGGATTGATTAAAAAAAACATAAAATCAGTATTTTATGAAGGTAGAACACTGAAAGCCAGACTTTATCTGGAACTTTGTCTGAGATCATAAGTGAAACTTCATTATCCTTATTTTGTTTCTATTTACACTCTGAGCACCAGTCTTCATTATATCTCATGATACATTTATGAAATATCCTCTGGATCACACCTCAAGCAGTAACAAAGCAGGCTGAGAAACCCACAGAGCAAGTTGCCTTCATAAATTTGAGTAACCGGTGATTATTCCACAGAATAAATCAAAAGTTATAAAATATTAATTTTAATGAATCAGCTACAGTATCTCTAAATCTGCATCTCTGCTGTTTTTTATTATTTCTTTTTTCTTTACTATTTTGAGGGTTACACTTAAATGTGTTTGCATATTTATGTTTAAAACTGCATCACGTAGAGCGATTCCTGTATTATTTTTGTTCTTTAATACTCAGGTTTGCACTTTCACACGTCTTCCATCTTACCTTTCCTGGATTTTTACTTCCTCTTCTTCAAGCCCCTTTCATTTACAGTCTGAAATCACACTGATCTGTCCATTGAACAGATGCTTCTTCCTTCTTTTCCTATCTCTCCTTTTCTTCTCTCTTTGTTCCTCTCATACCATCCTTTCTTGTGACGTCTCCTGCAATGTGTCAAACAACACCAGAGCAAAAAAAATTTTTTTTCTAAAACAACACAGCAAAACCGCGAGAGACAGGAAAAAAAAAAGTGCAGAAGAAAAAGAAAGCATATCAACCCCCCATAGGGCAGAAGTGAGCGATAGGCTCCCCCTCTGAGCTTGGCTCTGGGATTGCCTGTCACTGCACCCTATCTGGTGCCAACATTCTCACTCCCCCACTCTATAAGCTGCAAAATTCTCTGTGGCCTATATGCCTCAGCGTCACAAACTCAATATCCACAAAGTTTTCTTGGATTTTACACTGACAGTTTGCTGACTTACTCTACATTTGTAGTATTACATCAGCTATTAGAAGCTTTCCTTAACACCTTTAAAAAACATAATCCCATGTTAATGAAAACATTCTGTACCAGCTTGTCTTTCATTCGTTTGATTGTTCATTTGTTCATTCATTTTGAGAGGTATAAATAGCTCAAATGCTTCACAGCTAGTGCAAACCCTGTTTTTTTCATTAAAAGTTAAGTATTTATTTATAGTATAAGACACAGTACTAAATTAGCAACTAGAAGGCATCAATTTAGTGAATTTTGCATATTTACGGGGATATTTAATGAACTCAATAAAGAGTTTGAGCTTGTAAATTCAAAGTTTAGCTGTTCTAACTCAAGGTTTGTCCTGTAAAGCTGTCTGACAAATTTATGTGTGGGTGCGACTGAAATGAAGCTTGGCCAAAACTGGGTTATACAGTAAAACAATGATCCCAAGCACAAAAGACTCAAGGTGTTACAGTAGTCCAGTGGATGTTCAGACCTTCGGCTGATTGAAATGCTTTGGTGGGGCTTTAAAAAGAGCACAAATGAATGCCCACAAACCTCAACGAACCGAAGCAGAACTGTCAGGCGGAGTAGGCCGTAATTCCTCCACAGCTGTTTAAGAGACTGATAAGGTCATGCAGAAGTCGATTACTTCAAGTTATTGCTGCTAAAGGTGATCCTACAAGCTATTTAATCATGGAGAGCACTTGTTCAAACACTTCTTCTGCATTTAGTTTGTGTGAAATTAATAAATAAGCAAACAAAACACTGATAAAGACCTGATACAATTTTTTATTGCTCTTGAAAACACAAGAACTGAAAGTATGTATATTTACTGTTTCCTCTGACTGTAAACTACATTAACTTGAAAGTTTTCTAAACATAACTAAGTAATGTTTTAAATGTAGCTCTTTTAGGTTATATTTAAACATACAGAATCTGTAAAGGAATACTCACATTGTGTTGGAAAGAGATAAACATAGGTAGTGGTTTAAAAATCTGTACAGTAGGATTCATTATTAAAGCCTGAATGATCTGCTTGAACTACTGTTGGATTTGCTCATTTTGGTTCTTTGTTCATTCAGGTGAGAAGTGAAAACTGAAATCTGCACTCCAGCGACAAAACAAACTCACAGAAAATGTCATCGTTGTTCCAGTTCCGTTTCTTTCCACATTAGCTTGTCTAAACTTTTCTTTTGAGTAGTTTATTTACGCAAATTGTTTCTTTTTTCTTTCTTGTTTTTTATGTATTTTATCCACATGCACTCAAGTTACCAGTTGCTTTTTCTTGTCAAATGATTTCTTTAACAGCTCAGAGGTTAAATAGAAAAAGTAGCACTTTAATTTATATACAGAAACTGCATAACAAACAAGGATGCGTGCCTATGGAATTATTTTGAATTGTTGGATGATGTGCCGCTGTCAGATGTTTTATTTGTACTCCATTATTCTTTCTGACTCCTCATTTTCCATTAACTAATACGCATGAAGTGGCTTATTTTCTGGATTCTTTTGTGCTTTTAGTAATTGCCGTTGCTCAAATATACGTTCTGCTCCATTGTGCTAGATGTTTTGCCACAATGTCAGTGTGACCCGGTGCTTTAATTTTCAAATGTAGTTTAATTAATTTTAGTTAAACAGCACAAGAATGCAAATTTGTTCCTCTTTCAAGCTGCAATTTAATAGTGATTTTAGCAATCACACACACACACACACACACACACACACACACACACACACACACA